TCTCCAATTTGGAGGGCAGCAGTTTGCCCTGTGACTTTGCTACCCTGATGTACCTAAGAAGAGTTGGTGATTTTTTAGCTTGTTCGGGTTTTTAGAGCAGAGTGACAAACTCTAAGCTCCTTCCCTGCTGGATCAGAAATTGGAAGTCCCTATTGATTATTTAAAGATTTAAAACTTGCCAAAACCGGTTTGGCTCAGTGGATAGAGCGTCGGCCTGCGGACTGAAGGGTCCCGGGTTCGATTCCGGTCAAGGGCATGTACCTTGGTTGCGGGCATATCCCCAGTGGGAGATGTGCAGGAGGCAGCTGATCGATGTTTCTCTCTCATCGATGTTGCTAACTCTCTATCTCTCTCCCTTCCTCTCTGTAAAAAATCAATAAAATATATTTAAAAAAAAAAAGATTTAAAACTTGCCTGAGAAACCATCCTGCTAAACTTTTTTTTGTTTAATGCTTATGTCATTGCACTTATTTAAACCTTTTCTTTATGATTTTCACTGCAGGTAGCATACTTTAAAAGGCCTTCCCCATTCCAAGATTACTTAAATTTGTTTTGTTTTTATCTCATTATTTTATTATTTTTCTTATTCATATTTTAATAAACCTAGAGTATTTTAGTCATATGGGATAAGAAAGAGATCTAACCTCATTTTTTCAATTTCTTGTTATTTAATGCTCCTATAAATAATACAATCTTTCTTATAGTTTTGAAATTTTTCCTTTATAATAAATTAAATTATTATAGATATGTTCTGTCTTTCTATTTTGTTCTACTTATCTGCTACAAATTCCACAGATATATAAAACTTTCTAACCTATTTTGATATTATATATTTGTGTTTGGCTGTGCAAGTTTCACACCCAATCTCAGTTATTCTTCATTTTGAAACTTTGGCTGATTTTACAACCTTAATCTTCCTGATACATTTTAGAATACATTTAAACAATTCTTCAATTGTAACTGCACCAAACTAATAGATTATTTCATGAGTTATGGATATATTGAAATCAACTAGCATATAAAATTTTAGTTGCTTGCATTCCTACTCACACTGGCTTTAGACATTAATGTGGACTAATGACCCTTGAAATCCAGCAGTGAGGGTGGCTTCCCACACCGTTCAAACGGGGTGCCAGCTCAGTTTCCCCATGATGATCTGGGCTTCTTGTGTGCTGTTTCCCTTCATCCACACAACAGCTGCCAGCAGCAACCTCAACTATGTGCTTTCTTAGTCCATCCACTAAGAAAAAAAGGCACTGCTCCTCACAAGCACCTAATTAAAGTTCTGAGCTTTGTTCTTCACTTGGGGACCACCATGAGCTAGTAGCTGAGCCAGGGAAATACGGTTACTGACTGGTGCACAGTCCCACCAGGGACTACCTTTGGGTCTGCAATGGAGTCATTCCAAACCAAACCAGTGAGCCGCTACAAAATAGGAGGAATTAAAATAAATGTTGGGATTAACCTTGAGGTCCACTGCCATTAGCCCAATGAAAACTTATAACTTAAAAATGTCCCCCAGAAATGTCAACGTTCTTATATCATAGCAACACACATCTATTTAAAATATGCACAAACTCACTTATGTAGGTGTGTACCTACATGGGCACAATGTATGTGTATCCTTACAAAGCCTAATAACTGGAATCCAAAGGGGAAATGGCCATATCAAAATTATGACAGATACTGGGCAAACTAAAATAACAGTTGAACATATAACTCATTGTGCTGGTTAGAATATTATTTTTCTCACCTTACTGCCCACCAGTCAGATTGTTGATGCCCATGACCTCTGTACTTATGCAAAATAGCCCATTTACTCTCTTTCTCCTCAATGAAGCTATGCCTGAAACATCATTCAGTTTTATTTCCTCATTCACAGCCAGCATATTATAAAATAGTCTCTTAGTTGCTGTGAGCATGTAATATGTATTTGATTAGGATACATGTCAATATATTGCTTCCTCTAAATATTCCAAGCCTGCTTAAAGGCAAAGCCATATCCTATCTAGTCTGTCAATTGAACACCATAGTAAGGAATTTAGCAGAGATTACTGATATGTTAAGGATTACCCAATAAATATTCATGAAGTAAAACATCATTAATTTTATAAACTTTGTTCTATATAATTATATGTGGGAAGCACACTGTTAAACAAGGATTCATGAACCTGTATTCCTCCAAACTAGATTCCTACTGGCCCGATAACATGCCTTGCCATGCTCACCTTCATTGTTTGCATATTTAATTCAACTCAGTTGAACAATCATTTATTTTGCAGCGATGATGTGCTCAGATATGCTAGGTGATAAGCATACAAATGTTGTTAATAAATTACTTTGTCTTCAAGGGACCAGAGTCTACCATTTAATATCCCTTTTTAGAACATCCTCCCTACCCCTTTTCTGTTTTCTAATCCTTGTTTCTTCCCTTAGCATTTGACGTACATTCATCTTATTTTCTACTTAAGCTCCAGTAACATCAATGGAGCTGTGAATCTCATCTTTTCCTGAGTGCTCAGGGTTGTATGAAGGAAAAGGTCAGATTAAAAGGAAGGTAGGAAAGTGAGCTGTGAGGGGTAGATCTTAGCAGGAGGCAGGCATTACAGGCTGCGAAGGCAAACTCCTCCATGTTTTGGAGCTGCTATCCGAGAGACACCACCATCTCAGTTACCAGTGCTAAGGTACCGGGAGCAGGTCCATCCTTGCTGTTTCAAGGGACCTGGCGTATATGGCATACTGTTCTTAATATGTTTGCTCACCTTCTTGGCACTATGTGTTTTAACCAAGGTCACCTCTCCAAGAAAGGTTGTTTCCCGAGGTAGAGATTTTCCCCTGAAGTTAGGGAGGGAATAAAACCCCTTAACTAAGTGCCAGGTGCGTAGTTAATCACTTTAACAACGAACAATCATGCTTAAACTACATAATCCCTGGAATGGAGATAAGAAATGCACTAACCTTTGGAATAGAGATTGATAGGATTGAATCAACTGGTATAAATACAGATGTAACAAGACAACAACCTGGCTGGAGAACCTAGCAAGAGAACATGGACACAGAACTTGGCTGGAGATTGTGGCTAGGGATCCTGGCAAGGCTGCTGATCAACTGAACGCTGTCTCCATGTCATTCCTTCTTCGCTGACTCCGTCCACACCTTTGAGGACCCCTGGACCTGCTGGGGTTGGACCCCAGCTCTAAGGGGACAAAATGCAATGTGCAAGGAAAGGTCATGGGGCAATCAACTCACTTTAAAAGGACAGAGTCAGCCTGGCCGGTGGTTGAGCGTCAACCTGTGAACCAGGAAGTCATGCTTTGATTCTCAGTCAGGGCACATGCCCAGGTTGCAGGCTTGATCCCCAGCAAGGGGCCTACAGGAGGCAGCCAATCAATGATTCTCTCTCATCATTGATGTTTCTATCTCTCCCTCTCCCTTCCTCTCTGAAATCAATTTAAATTTTTTTTAAAAAAGGACTGAGTCAGATTTACCTTCCTCACAGCCCGAATCAGCCTGACAGTAATGCTTCTGTCACACACACACACACACACACACACACACACACACGCTCCTTTTTTCTTGTTGAGTTCTAAAATCTCTTTAATAAGGATAGGATAGGGAAGGGAGAAAGGATGTTTATTTTGCAATTAGAGACTTAAATTAAATGCATGGTTGAGTTAATACATCACTGTGACTGATTTTCAATTAATTCATCAATTAATCAACACATATAAATGATATATTATTCATTTTTTTCTCAGCTCTATTGCAATATGGAAAGGAAAAATGGAAGGCAGAGAGGTGGGAGAGATGAAGCTCTTAGGAGACTAAAGCATGTTTGTTAGGCAAGAAGATGAGACCATCACCACAGAGATGTAAGAAAGAAGATTAGGTCAGGAAAGACTCAGATGTCACCTAGGACTGCCTCATCGAGGGTGCAGAGACTAGTAGTAGTAACTGGAGACTGAGGATCAAGAAGCTACTAAAACAAATGACTCTACTTGATAGGATTTAAGGTTTTCCTTATTGTTATTCATTTCTTAACACTAGTAATTTCATATAGAGGCATTTCATTTACAAACAATTCATTAAGAAAGGTAAGAAATACAAATAAATGTCATATTTATTTTCTTCTGTTTCAAAGTAACAGCCCTTAATAAGCCCTTAGTGAAAGGACACTATAAATGTATCTCTACAATAGTTTTTCTTTCTTTTTAAATACATATTCTTTGGGGAAATTTTTTTAGGTCAATGTAATAGAATAAAAAGCATATTTCCATACAAAACATTCCCCAGAAACTTCATATGCCAAACATTACATGAGGTAAACTATTGATCTGAGCCACATGGCATTTCTGAGTTTGCTCATGAAATGAATTTTAATATAGAATTTACACTAGAGAAGTTGACCCTGCCACAACTGAATTTTAAATCACTTAACAGTATATTTGTCATTCAGGAGAGGATTACAGCCAAAAGTACACTTTCTAAAAAAAAAAATGACCATGTTTTTTAAAATTTACAAAATATACTTATATTCACCATAAGACAAAATCACAGTGGATTACAAATAATCCATATGATCATAATTCCATAATTACATTTTTTTCCTTGCAACCAGTTGTTACTACTGGTCTGTAAATCTCCACTGAAGAAGCCCTTCACATCTTGAAATGAAAATCCATAGTTACAAAAATTTCATGTTTTAAAAAAAAACTATTTCTTACCTGTGTAGTAGAGAGCTCAGTGAGAAGGCTATTTTCATCATGTTTCAACCTTATAAAAACCTTTAAAACCACTATTTCAGAGAAATCATTTTGGAGAGGGGAAAAAAAACCCCTTTCCATTCAACAAATATTCAATCTAAACATTTATCGATTGACTATATTCCAGTCACATAGTAGTACCTATGAAAATGGTAAATCAGAAGTATAGTAATCTCCCACAAAAATAAAAATGTCGTAGCAAAAATCTACATAGTTCAAGCGGTTTTATGTTATTACCTACTTATGTCTTCTAATTGCAGATCAAAATCTTGAAGTTTCTTTTGATATTTCTCTGTAAAGTTACAGAACTCATTAAAAATTGAAGATTTCAAATCAGGGTATGGGCATTCCAAAGCGTCTAATTCCATTGGCAGTTCACTAAGCAGGTTCCTCCTTTCTTCTGAATAATGATCTAGTATCTGAAAAATAAATTACATGATTGTTTTATTTAACGCCAATGACAAATTGATAAACAAATTACTGTCTGCTTCACACTTACTTTAATACTCCAGTCTGAAAGGTTATTTTCTAAATTCTGTTGCTCCAGGCTAAGTCTCTCAAAGACAGCTTTTAATTGTTTCTTCACAGAGTCAACCTATTGGAACATTTAGAACAAGTAGTATGCAAATTCTTGTGATTCATTCAATATGTATATTTAAATTCACAGGAATTAATCTCAAAAGCCAGTAAGTGATGATAAATTAGATAAGAGAATGTGCCTTTGAGGACCTGGGGGAGAGGATTCAAGTGATACCATAGCCAGGCGTGCTTATCAGAGGGGTTTCCAAACACATAACTCAAAACTGGCTGGGAAGTACAGGGGGGGTCCTAGCCTCTGCACCCACATTTTGATTTTGTTTGTGGTAAGGCAGAGAACTTACCAGAATGTCTGTTCCAATCAGCCTTTCCTTCCCTTGCATCCTTTCCTCTAACTCTCAACTGGGCATGGGATTTTTAATACATTTTTATAAATTATTATTTATGAAAGCAATATAACACTACAGACAATTGAAAAATAGACTGAGAAAAATCACCTAAAAACCTATGTCTAGTGCAGCTATGATGATGGAGTTTATGCTCTAGTCAAGGGAAACTGTCAATAAACTAATAAAAAATAGCTACGAAAGTATCAGGAGGAGGTAAGCGATGCAAAAACAGGGTGAGGTAATAGGGAGTGACTATGGCTTCCTTCAAGTGGACTATGAGAACAGGTCACTCAGAAGCAAGGACATTTAGGCAAACACCTAAGGACAAGAAGCACCCTCAGTGAAACAGGAAATAGCCCGTGCACAGGCCCTGAGACAGGAAGGAGCCTGATATGTGTGAGAAGGAATAGAAAGAAGGCCAGACCAGTGACAGGGTGGCGGAAGTGGGTTTCAGGTAGGAGATGCGACTGAAGAAGAGGGAAGGGCATGATGTGAGCCAGGAGGAGCCCTGAGGAGGGCGGGGGGATGACTTGATCTCCATGCACTGAAGGTAGGTCCCAGAATGCAATGGGAGGAGGAACAAGAATGAAAGCTAGGAGACTAGGTATGAGGCCATTATAACACTCCAGGCTCCAAATGAACAAGCTTGGACAGATTTAAGGATGTTTAAGATACTGAATAGACAGAATTTGCTGTATCTTCTATTAAAATACACCCTTGTTGGTTCCTTATCTCAAACGGTTCTAGTTGGGACAAAAAATGAAATATTATGTTATTAAAAGTAAAGGTAATATACTGACCTCTTTCAGTACATCCACTGAATTCAACTCACTGTGTGAGTGTGAATGCTGTCTGTATTTTAGGTCTGCTATCAATTGATGAATAGGATTTATCACATTTTTAAGATACAGGCACCATTGTTCAGATAACTCTTGCTCTAAAGTGAAACAAAATTAAATCAAGATAACACATTATTTTAATTTTTTACGAACAGGTTCTTAGAGTCAGATTTATTTTTGGATTATTTTAGAAAAAAACAAACAGCAGTTAATAAAAGAACATGAAGTGAGTGGTCCACTTTCATCTTCAAAACACCCCTGTAAATATAGGATAAAAAAAAAATCTCACCAAAATTCTTAAGGTCAGAAAGACATTCACTTCCAATGTTCTCTTCTTTGAAAAAAGATTTTATTTCAGATTCCACTTTAGACCTGAAATAGACATTATCTGGGTTTAAAAAATATGGGTTTAAAAAATAGTAGTAGAAATTTAACCTAATGTGGTTTTATTCACTGGTTTGTTTATTCTGATCACATACTAAATTCCTAACATGGATTTGGTACTTGCCTGACACTACCAATGAACATTTGGTCTCTCCAAAATGTCCACTGAGACATTTGGCCCATACCAAAAGGTCTTGGATAGTTCATCCTGACCAAAACATCCATGGGGACTTTGATCTATGGCTAAAGGTCCTTGAAATTTGGTCCTGTCTAAAACATCCATGAGCATATTTGGTTCATGCCAAATGGTCCTTGGTTCTGTCAAAAATGCCCATGCTTAGGAAATGCTGGATTCAGATAAGCCATAATGCTTATTTCTACTCTTGGTTTACAGGGATAATACATTAAAAAGTACTATCATGTTTTATTGGTCCAATAGGGTTGTGGCTGTTTTGCCAGTAATAGTACCCTTCTTGCCTCAGTTAGCCTTGCTGGTAATGGTAAATGGGGTTAGCTAGATGGTTCCAGGTTGGAATCTTGCAGAAGAGCAGAATTTATATTAACTATGCATGTTTTGGACAGGCCCAAATATCAAGGCGTGGACCAAATATCTCTGGACGTTTTAGACAAGACCAAATGTTTTGCAAGGAAAGGAAGCATAAGTGAACCCTCTGGGGAGAAGTAACAGCGAAAGCCAAGGTGAGCCGGTGACATGCCCCAGCATCACTTCTTTGGGGAGAGCTCGGGGCATTGGGAAGCCATTGAGGGATATTAAGCTGACTTCCCCTGCTCAGCAGATCTGTGTTTCAGAAAGATTCCCAAGGCAGCAAGATGCAGGACAGACTGGAAGGAGGGGTGATCAACAGAAATGGAACATGAACAGGAGGGGACAAGGTGAATCTGAACCAACAAGGAGGTTATTTTAGTTAAGAGAAAATGAATTCCTGAACTAAGGAAATAAGGGTAAAAGTATATTTGGTTTTTATACAGTAGTAAAAGGAATAAATCTTAATGACTTTTTACATATTATTTAAATATAGCCATTTTTAGCCCTGAGCAGTGGTTAGAGCATCGGCCCAGTCAAGGGCACGTACCTTGGTTGTGGGTTCAATCCCCAGCTCTTTTAGGAGTGAGAGGCAACCAGTTGATGTGTCTCTCTCACATCAATGTCTCTCTCTCTCTCTCTCTACCCCCCTCCTCCCTCTCTTTCACTCTCTGTAAAAATCAATGGAAAAAATATCCTCTGGTGAGAATTAAAAACAAACAAAAAATAAATATAGTCACTTTTAGAGTAAAAGCATAACCTGCTCTAAATGGAGA